GGAGTCAGGCCCTCTGCCATCACTCTCAAACTGGAAGCAATTTCAGATAGTGTGAGCGGGCCTGCACGTCAGATTCCACTCGAGCCTCCATTTGTCTTCTTCCTGATGCCACAAAGAAGAGAGTGAGTGAGCTCTGCACTTCGCGTCCTGCTGCCTGTTCCAGCTGCTGGGAAGGCACCCGTCTTTACCCCATTGGAACGAGCGCACGTTGAGGAAATTAAAAATGCGCTCTCATGAAGTTCTGATGGCCAGAAGAGTCAGGCAGGAGAGGGAGCTTCTAGGAAGAGCACATGTTCTTAATAGACACGCTGCCGGTATGCTGCTGCTTGGCAGAAGTAGCCGCGGTATGGCGAGCAAGGCTGATGCGCTTGCTCGCCAAGTCGCCAAGCAGCGCCAAGTCGCTCATTTCCAGAGCCAGAACGAGTGGTGGCTCAGTTCATACAGCACTGCAACGTCTCTATAGCAAATCCCCCCTAGTAATTACCACTAGTTATAAAGAGTGTTATTTACGTGATGGGACCCATGCAGTACACTGAGATTGTTAGACAGCACTGAATTTTTTTTAATGTTGTTTTGTGAGAACACCTATGAGTCTCCTTGCCATAATCAGTGATGCTCAAGATGCTCTATAGGAAAAGAGCTGGAGGTAGCAACACAACCATTCAGGTAGTTTAAGAATTACCCTAGTAATCAACACGTCAGCCTCATGGGTCTCTGTAAGAGTGCTCACACAGTTTTGCTGGAGGAGGAAATACAAGGAGTGCAATTGAGTTGTGGGAGAAAGGATGTGGTGCTTAACCTTCATAAAGAGCCTGCAAGTCCTTATTCTCTGTCATGTGGCCTGACCTCTAAAACTACTCCTCTAATCTCATCTCAAAAGTGGCAATAATTAGGAAGTAAAAAGAATTATTGGTTTTATTTTTGGGACTTTCCACTTCTTCTGTTCCCTGGTATTCTATTCAAGTGCACGAGAGCTGCGGATAATCAGGCTCTGAAGTGAGGACTGTATATGACCTGTAGTTATTATTGCGTACACAGCCAAGGGCTTCATTGGGCCAGGTGTTTTGGAATACCTGGTTGTTACATACGTGATGGAAGAAAATGTATTGCGTAGTTTGACCTCTTTTTTTTGGACTTTTCTTACGTCCTACAATTCATGTTAGCATGGCTAGAAGTACACACCTTGCAGAGGACAGTGCCAAGAGAAAGGCTGCAACTCCTTTCTCTCTAGTTCTCTTTTCTATCTGATAAATACGTGTCTATTAGCACCTGTATTTTTAAATATTGTACCTGTAATTTGTAATATAGCACCTGTATGTTTAAATATTAACATTTTCATTTAAATTTAATTGTGTTTGGGGAAAAATCTGTTAGGGTCACGCTGGTGTATGCCTGCTGATGTGAAGATCTGATAGAATATCTGTGTATGTTACCTTTCATGAATTGCTAAGATCTCTTTTGTGAATCAAATGTTGCATTTTGTTACACGAGAGGATATATCAGAGCTGAAACATGTTGAAATGAGTAATTGTATGAATGAGTTGCTTCTCTAATATTTTACTTTTTTCCAGTTAATCCTACAAATCCTTGAAAAAAAGTTAAGACAACTAATATCTAATCCATTCCTTCTTTAATTCTTCAGTTTTAGTGTAGGGAATTGTTCTCTCCTTCATATTCTAGATTAATAGGTAATTTTAAGCCACCTAATGTCAAAAGGTAATGTTTTACCATTCCCTATCATTTTCTCTAGGGACTATGAACATAGCAGCCTCCAAGATCTGTATTGCTTGCTCTCTGTTGAGGCGTACAACTTTCTCCTGAACTCACAGGAAGATTGTGGGTCAACAGTTTTTTTTCTAGGGGGGAGAGGGCAGGGTCATTTTTATCAGGTGGCAACCTGAAAAGAAAAATATTTTGCATTTCAGACACTATTAAAAAACTGTACACTTTTAATGAAAAGTTTTTTTTTTTTTTAAAAAAAAGAAAGAAAAAAAATAATAAAGAAAAAGTATTGAATGCATGATTTTCATTTGAATTCTAAAGAATTTGAGTGCTCAGGCAGCCTGCTGTGTGTTTCTGCTTGCCTAAAATACAGTTTTCACTAGACACACGATAAAGGTATAAGGCAGTGACAGATATCTAGGGGGTCACTATAGCAATGTATATGTGTTTCATTTAGTATTTTTTTCCCCTATGTTTTTTATTTATTTCTTGATGTGACATGCACACACACATCCCTCAAAGGAATTGGATCTAGTATTTTTAAAATGTGGTGAAATATGTATGAACATGGCAAAGTAGTTTGCGTAGTGGTGCCACTTTGAATGTGATGAGGAAGGTGGAATGAAGGAGATCCTGAAAAATTGCTCTTGCTATAAAATGTTTGATCCCAGGTAAAACAGCTTTGGGAAGGAGGATTGAAGGAGTTGTCTTACTGATTCAGTTACTTTGCTGGGGAGCAAGACTGGTTAGACTCCTTGTCCTTAACTGTGGAAAGAGCTTGAATTTTGTTTTCTGGTGTTGAAACCTCCTGAGCTAGAGGTCTGCGGGAGCGAGGTCTTGTTGCAGGTCTGTGTCCCGTGCTCTTGTAAGCTCACCCTGTTATAGGGGCATGGCAACTTGCTCTCTAGCCCTATAGTGGGGGCATCCAGCTGTTGTGGGGCAGTGGTGGAGCTTTGCTACCTACTGGTGTTAAACCATCCCCATCCTTTCACAGGCACACGTGGCTTCCACTGAATTGCCCCTCCAGCCTTATTTAATGCCTTCGAGCACTTCACATCAGATTACTTGGCAACCTGGTGAACCTTTTTTGAGAGCTAGGCGGGCAGCAGGGTTCTGTAATTGTTGAGGTGGCACAGGGAGATGTGGACAGAGATACTCAGTGCTGATCTTGTGTCCTTCAAGGGTGTGCTCTCACTGCTAGGCTGCTTTGTAAGCCCTGAGAGGAGAACTAGCACCAGGCTGTGACTCTGTTCCTGTGTATTCTTCCAGATGAGACTGATGATTTTGGACTGAATTTATAAATTTCAGGGTGACTGCAATCATGTTTTCAAGAAGCTCATTCTTAACAACTAAATATACTACTTCAGTTTTTTTCCTGAGTGATTTGCCTTAGCAATGTATTGCCAAGTAATTTGCCTCAAAAGTCATACTTCCTTCACCACCACGTATTGCAGATGCACAGCAAATATATGTCTTATCCCAGGAGATCCATAATCTGTGGGAATTTGTAGTCACAAAAGCAAGAATTGCACTTTTTCGTTTTGAATTCTTATTAGTGTTTCCTTTTTATAGATGCAAAGCTTGCTTCATGATAGTCTGCCTAGGGCCCCATGCACTCAATAAAAGACTGATTTCTTTGATTGTGTAGATGATTGAAAATTGAATTGTTGATGAAAATTGGAGGTCAAGAAATACAGTGCCAGGCTATGTTCTTTATGTAAGATTAATAAAAATGTTTTGGTTATTGTAGGTAAAATGCAAAATGCTGTTGTTTTCTTTTAAAGTGTTGTATAACTGCAGGGTTTTTTTTTTTTTTTCATCCATATGAGAAAGCAGATCATTCATGGTAGTATAGCACTGCAGATTTATATATATATATCTGTGTGTGTCTATATATACACACACACATACACAACACACATGAACATGTGTATTTATGATTGTTGATGACGTGGCCTGGTTTCTAATACTGTATACCTGTTTTTCCCTACTGTGTATTCCAATATTTCTGTATTCCTGTACGTCCCAATAACAGGAGAGGAGAGGGAAAGAAAAAAAGCCTTGATAGCTCTTACGTTTTGTTAATTTGTTTTTTTAAGTGATAACCAAAATTAAACAGCTACTAGAAGGTCAATGCCAATATAATAAAAATAGGTCAATTTAGCAGATTTATAGGACTAGGAAAGGCAAATGAGGGAAACTATCTTTTTTGTTTTCTGTGAGCACCATAAGCAATGTTGTTGTGTTCTATGTGAATACCTCAATGGATTGTATTCATCGAGATGACAATTCTTCATGATGCTTTGTGTATGTTCTCACCTGTTCTGCTTTATGGTAATAAATAAATGGTTACTTAGGAACCTTTTTGATAAAGCACTTCGAGACTATGACCAGGTTAAGGAACTAAATTTATTTTTTATGTTTGGTAAAAGTGCATAAACAGCAAGGATGAATATCTTTCAATTTATTATTATTTTTTTTTAACATCACATTTTAAAATGGATATAAAAACACTGTGGTTGGATTGGCTGGAAAATGTCTATGTTGGATTGTTTGCAAATAAAACCTTCATTCTTCCTCTAAAAATTGCTGCATTCATCTTAAAAAGAAAAAAAAAGATAATGGCCAGATTAAATACAAATTGATGCTGCTATTTAAGTAGCTTCGTCTGAACTTGGAGCATTGTAAATAATTACTTTTGTATCTATGGTATTACACATGACATGTAGAAAACAGTTCACTACTATAAGACAATTTGAGAACAAATTAGATCAGAAGGAAAAAAGAGATAAAGGGAAGACTTTAATCAGCATTCATTATTTATTCTTGCATTCTGAGAAAATTATATATGCCAAATACAGGCTTTTAATCAAATAATGATTAAAATATTCAGATCTCACCTACATGTATTTGGTTAGATGCATTGACCCAAATTTCAGGCATCCAAGGGGAAAATGCTGTAGTTTGTGCAGCTGATGGAACCGCTTTGTTCCTACCCCCTGCTGTAATTAATTTGGACAGAGATCCATTGTTTATTTTTGTCACTTTTTTGTTTTGAGAAGTTCCCCTGTCTGCTGTTCATACCACATTTTAAGATAAACAAGGCGATCCTTTTCATTTGTCTGTCTTTTTCTTCTTTGTAGCTATCTGCCAGGCCACCTGAACAAATCAACTGCTTCACAAGATCCTCAAATAAACACATCTTTTAGCATGGGTAACTGAGGTTAACTGGACAGAGGCAAATGAAACTCATTCTTCTTCGTTTTGTCTTTTTGTAGTTAATCTGCTGGATTCAAAAACAATTCAAGGGGAGCTGGGCTGGATCTCCTACCCGTCACATGGGGTGAGTTCAGTAGACTGTGAAATGGAAAAGTGGTGCTACAGACCAATGTGCTATTTAACCATTGTTTCCTCTTCAGAGGACACTGTGCAATAGCTGTGGCTCTTTGGAGCTTCAAAAATTGTCTGCTCAAAACTTGAAATATAAGGCTTATGAAGTTCTGCTGCTTTTTCTTCAGAACATATATCACAATGCACATAATCCCCATGAAGAGCTTATTGGAGAAAATGAAAGCAAAAGGTGCATTGAACAAAAAAGTTGTCTTTAAGCACCATTTCACCCTCTATTAAAATGTGTGTTTCTAAAAGATATCATGGAACTGTTTAGTATTACTTGATGATTTACTCAGATGGAAATAACGGAAGGTGAAAAACTTGTGGACGTAAACAGGTGATGTAAGTACTCATTTGGTAACTTGGGTAATGAATCGTTCAGGTACTGTTATTTATTAGTTGGAATGTAATGAAAGAAATGTTTTATGTTTTTGAGTTTGTTTGTTTATCTTGTATCCAGAAGTAATGAAACTGGGTATTCTGTTTGGAAAAGTGCAGTTTTGGAGCGTCTATGCTTTCACATTATGGCATTAGCTAATTTTTAGATAGCATTTGCCACCATTTTTGCCATCTGAATATCAATTCATAGCTGTCCAGTGGCACTGACGTCCAGTCACTCACCACCTTTTTGTTTCTATGTGGAATGTGTGTGTGCTTGTGCATAGGGGGAAAAACAAAACAAACAAGCAAACAAAAAAAAAAGAAATCTTTCTTTTTATGTTGCATAGCAGAGATATGCAAGAAAACTCAAGTTCCTACATTTTGTCCCCTTAGCAAAAAACCTACTTAGTAGGCTGAAGCCCCAATGCCTGGAACTTCCCGTGTCCTCAGAGAAGGCTGTGCTGTCAAGCCACCTCTGAAAGAAGACGCTCAAAGACCTGTGGCTTTTTCTCTTGCTGCCCTTTCACTTCTGCCTCCCCTCACACAGTGGTGCTTCATTTCTTTCTTCTTAGAGAAGTCTTACTTCAGGTCTTTTGATGTCAACTCCTAGAAGCTTTTGTGTATCTCTCAGCCTATCTTCTACCCTATGAGTAAACATCTGCCAGAGCACACTGCCCCTTGTAAGTCTTTGGGAAATGTCTCTAGTCTTGATAAGAGCAAGGAGTTTCTAGCTAGGAGTCCATTGTTTTTCCAAACCAACCGCTTTTTGAATTCATACTGTTGGCAGGTGTTTGCTTATTTGTTTATCTGTAGGATTGTGAGCATCCACTTTTTGATTATTCTGTAGCTTTGGGCAAGCTGTTACTTGGCCTTTATTACTTTTACAGATATTGGTAGTAACAGTACTTCTGCATATATGCCTTGTGGGATTCAGTTTTTAATATTAAAGTCGTGCCTTATTGATACAAATTGTTCTGTGGGTGTTTAGCAGTACTTAAGGATTAAGGCTTGGTTTATTTTCTGAGTTAATACGTAGATCTCTCTCTGTCTCTGAACAAATTGTTCCATTCTCAAGGGGAAGAGGTAGGAAGAGAGTTCAAGTTTCTTTCTAGTGGCTGTTCCTGCTGACTTTTCCCAATAAGAAACCTTTGTAAACAGGATGTCCAAGAGGGAACTCTCCAGTAATTTCAAGCTCATCAGTATTTTGTCTTCACTTGCACTTTTTTTTTTCCTTTGCAAAGTCTTTTTTCGTTTCTCTCTCAGCTGCCCTGCCCTCTTCTGCTTTACTCTTCTGCTCTGCTCATCTCCTTGCAGCTGTGCAGATCTACTGCTCTGCTCCCTGCAGCTGTGCCTCTCTTGCCTTGGATGCCTAAAGCAGTTGGTAGGGAATGACATAGAGTATCTTGGGGGCTATAAGAAAAACAGATGTGCTGCATTACCCCACCAGAAAGAGTCTCCAGCTCTCTAAAAACAACTTTATTAGCTTCTGCAAGTTTGCGTCAGGTAAATCCAGCACAACTTGTTTGTGTCTGTGCATGCCATTCCTGTTTACTGTAACGTCCATGTACATTGAAGCCAAAGAAAATTGTGGAATTGCAACCTTGTCCTTAGAAGTTAATGAAATTCCTAGTTAAAATTAATTACTAGTAAATTGATGTAGATCATGTACTGTGTTTTTGTAAGAGAGCTAAGACTAAACTGTAGCCCTCAAAGTAGTGTGAAATTTTAAAATTAAATAGTGAAACGTGAATGTAAAGTATGAAAACACCAGCGTGTATCCTGTCTGAATAGGCAGTTTTCTGTAAAATGATGACAACCTGAACTTCGTAAGAAAGAGACACCTTTTACAGCCCATTATTTATAGTCAATTAATTAAACCTGGTAAATATGTCTGCATCAGTCTCCAAGCTAACTAAAATATGAACTCAAACTTCAGTGGAAAAACATTATAATAAAGTTGTCACATCACACTGAAAGATTGCTAATAGCACAGTGGTGATTTACAAGGTAAAGGTAATAGAGCTACTCTTGAGGCTGTGATTCACAAATGAGGATATTGGTGTTGTGCCAGTTCTTCAACGTGCAGCAGTGTTCTCAGCTGAAGCCATAAATGTCAATATGCTGAGGAGGCTGACGTACAGAAAAAAAAAAGGGGGGGGGGTAAATCTAGCCAAAGTGTTTAATAAACCTCTTATTAGGTTAATCATTCTATCTGATCTATACGTGCTATTGATTGATTTCTGGCAAAACGACCCAAATTGGATGGTTGTCATTTTCTGCATTCTATGACTATTCTTCTTTTAGGTCTGACTTGGACATATATAATAATAGCTTTCCAGAAATTCCTGAATATTCATGTTAAGATTTATAGCTCATTTGTATTCAACGATTTCTGTGTCCCACATAAGAACATTCTGACAGCAGTGTTTTAGTCCGTGGTTTAGTAATATCACCCCCTAAGAATGTGATCTCTCCTTGAACCATCCCACACAGCCACAGCCTTGGCATCAGGAACACTGATCTGGTCAAGCTTGTTAAAATCCCTTAAGTAACAAACATAGGTCCCTCTAGATACTGAATTAAGAATATAATAGCTGGCTTTGCTGATGCTTGAGCATGATTGGCAGCAGCCACAAGGCCTGTATCCTGTGCTACCATCTCCAGCACCTGCCTAAGCAACCTTTTTGTAATGCCAATCAGTCAAATACCAGTTCCATTTCTATAGGTTTCATTAAAGGGGAAAGAAAGAAGAGCTACTTAGTCTGTGCAGAGTATATTATTGATATGCTGATTAAGCATAATGCAAGTGATCATTAACTGCAATTCACGTAAATTACAGCAGCACAGATGTGGGGGTTGGGAGGATAAAAAAGCAAGTCACTTCAATAATGCACAATAGAAATGTGATGGATAATTCATACAGGACAAAAAGAGTAGAGTCTAAATCCTGCTCTGCATATTCATGTGAGTCGTTGTATTGGTTTCAGTATGATTTTTTTAGTAAGAAAGATGTTTGTACTTTGAATCTATCTCCATGTTCTTTGGGAAGTTTGGAAAAATGTCTTTGACGTAATTGCAGTGCATTGTTATGCTGGCGCCCAAGTTGTGACTTGATATTTACATGTTTATCATGTGTATTTATGGATTTGAAATTTCCTGGCTGCTTTTCTTTGGGTAGTTGGTTGAAAAGTTAATCTTCTTTTTTCATATATTTTTTTTCTTGTAGTTAGAGAAAAGAATGCTCTGGAATTTATTGTTATCAAGTAATAGATAATTATTTTAAAACAAACAAAACCAAATCTATACATGATCACTGTTAGTAAATTGTGGGCAAAATTTTAAAATACTGCTTGGGAAACAAAGATACAGCCTTTAATTATGAGAGAAACTATGAGAGAAGTTTTTTAGGTCCCTGAGTTTCTTCAGATCCGTCTGACTCAATAGCTGGGTGTGCTCATTATGGTAAACTTTGGGGCACATATTTCAGCTGCTGACTGTACACCGAAGTGTTTTGGAAATCTGGTGTGAATAATTTGTTTTTTCTTAGTGCTTGTTCTCATGATCATTTGGACAAAGCGAGATGTGGATCTCAGTAATGGAAACTTTAGTAAGTATTAGACGAGGGAAGGATAACATTCCCTGTTTCTGTAATAGTTTGTGTTATGCGAGGAAGGCCAGAACATGCATGATGGAGATTGATGAGAGTTTTTCCATGAACCAAAATTGGGTTAGAATCAAAAATCTTAAGTGTAAATGAGGAAAATGTCTCCTTTCTTACATTTCAAAAGCCCGAAAGTAGTTTGTCACATTAGTCCCTCTTACAGCCTACCCACGAAAGCGAGTCTCCCTGGCTGCATTTATTCTGGATGCAATAGTCTGCTAATGTAAAAACTTTTTGGCCCTTTTTTGTGTGATATTGCAATTGAAGAAAAGTCTCAATAAATAAGTATTTGGCTATTGCTTGTGACTAGACGAAGGCAGAGAAAAATTTGGGCACCATTACATTTTGCCTGTGATTAGGCTGCACTCGGATTAACTGCGTTCAGGAATCAGTTATTTAGCTCATTAGGAACAGAAAGTTTTTCTGTTTATATGACAGAAGTTTTCAAGATTAATAAGTACTTCCATGAGTACTGGAAATAATGAGGCTTGTTTCCCAGCAGCTTTGTGTCTTGTGGTTCATTGCGTCCTGTGATTTGAAGCTTTTCTTGCAGGAGGTCCTTATTGCTGGTGGGTTTCCTGGTGTCATGTTCAAGGCGTACCTTCAGCTGGGTACACAGAAAGTTCCTTTACCTTACATGTCCTTGATTTTCACACTCCTGCGGAATCTTAGGACAGCTCAGCATTAAGCTGAACTTGAAACTGGCCAACAAATACAAAAACTTGTGAACCCACCTAAATTTAGTTTTCTTTCAATACTGATTGGCATCTTCATTTGTATATATACATAAATTTATTTATTTTTGTTTGAGACACCAATCTTGTCAACTTTTAAGTGATACTGTATTTGAAGTGGGGAGTGTTACCAAACTCACAAGGTGGTAGTGAAAATATGTTTCAAAATGTACC